TATTCGATATATAAGAGAGAAAACTCATGCTTAGAGTGGCTGAGAAGACTGTGACTTTCAAGATGGATGTAGAAAAGGGGGCACAAAAGGAAAAATCAGTTGCGAGTGTTGAGTGAAAAGTGAAGGGCTCAAAAGAGAAGGCTGCGACGAGTGAGAAAGATAAGTGTGGTGTGTACCACAAGAAGGCTAATAAGAAGCTGTCTGCATGGATGTGCGCATTAGTTCAAAGGCAAGGAATGGATCTCGACTTCGACTCAGACCCTGACTAGATGTTCAGGAAAGTTTCCTTTACCTTATGTTTTTTAATTGTGTGTCATGGGGACATGCAATAACTTAAAATGTGGGGTGCGGGATATGTTGTATGTATGTATGTATGTATATTAGTTTTAGTTTTTGTTGTTTTAGTAGCTAGGGATAGAAAATATTGAAAAAACCATAAAAATTGAAAAAAATTCAATTTTGCCCGATGATAGATATCATTCGATCGGTTTCTTGAGGGATTAAAGTCGAAAGAAAAAGACAAAAAGATTTTCTTTTGTTAGGTAGTGTAATAATTCCCCCTTGATTTTTTTTCTTGCCGCGGTTCTTTTTCAAGGATTTTGTTTGAACCGGGTGTAGTTAGTTTTTATTTTTATATGGAGTAGGAAACATTGTTCTACGATTGGAATTGAAGGCAATATCTCTTAACTCTATTATACATTGAGAATAATGAGTGCTTTAGTATGACACTTAGGCTCAGTTTTTGACTCTTGTATAAGTACCTTAAAGTGAATGATCTAAACTTTTCTTAACTGCTTTGACTAGAGTGTCTTGTTAATCCAATCTTGAGTGAGTTATGTGTCGTGTGTGTGTGAGGTTTTGGGTTATTTTGTGCATTGCATTTGATATCTAGAATTTGCCCCGTTTGTTTGCAAATCAAAATAGTAGTTTTGTTCAGTCTTGAAAGTGATATATGCATTTCTTTGTTGAGCCAGATATATGATTTTACCCACCTAATTATTATGTATTGTAGTTAACCCCTTTGAGCCTGTAATCCTGTTTCTTTGGCAACCACATTACAAGCCCTACCCATTTGTTTAGATTGACCTTCTATTTAAGCCTTATACCTATCGTGAGCACTTGAATTTGTTATGAACTTTGTAAAAGTGAAGTGTGGGGTGATTGGTTTGGCTTTTGAGTGGAACTATTGAACTAAGGAGAAAGGTGCACTGTTTTTAAAAAAAAAAGAGCTACTTGAATTGAAAAACAAAGAAAAAATAAGTGTATAATTGTGAAAAATATTCTTTGATAGTGGTGACTCTTGATGTAATTATGCTTAAATAAGTATGGAGTTAATGTATATTGATGTGAAGGTGGATTTTTAATTTGACATAAATGTGGGGTTTTGAACAATGGAATGTATGTATTAAAGTGCTTAGGGAGGTGTAGTCACTCTTATATCCAAATGTATCCTACCCATCCCGCATCGTACATTACAATCATATAAAGTCATATTTGATCCTTGACTGAATGAGCTCAATTAGTAGAGTAGTATACTACGAGCAAGCCTATGGCGCGTCTTTTGTGGCATATGAATGTTGTTTCTGAAAGTGAGTGAATTCTTTCTATCTTGAGTTCCTAATTGTTCTTAAATTTTATTGTGTACGGAACTACTCTCTATTGTTGTGCGAGGGCACTTGATTCATGAAGGAAAGGTAATGTCGTTGACCTTTATGTTAGATTAAGTGAGCGGGTTATAAATAATGCATGGTGCTTTTGAGTCAATTCTTGAGATTAGGATGTTACGGTATTGTACTTAATCTGTTTTAAATATTCTTGGTGTAATGGGTTATGAGAGTTGTTTAAAAAGGTCGTGTCTATGTGAAGTGTAGTTTGATTGCTCGAGGACGAGCAATGGTTTAAGTGTGGGGTGTTGATGGTAGGCTATAATCTTGTATTTTAGTCGCTTATTGCACTCTAATTTACTGTACTTTATTTGTTTTGAGCTTTAATTGATAGTGTTTTGCACTTATTGTGTATTTTATGACTTGTAGGAGTGATTCCGAGTGATATAGATGTTATGGATCTAATTCGAGCTATTTGGAGCTTTGAAGTCTGATTAAAAGCCCAAGGGATTAAGGCGGGATTATGTTCGGGGGTCGAGGACCAAGTTTGGACGTCAAAAAGCAAGATTCAATTCGTACTCTGAGAAAAATATCTTGCCGCGGTGCGTGAGACGCCACAGCTGTACAAAATCTGCTGCCTGACAAATGTTGAGCTCTCTGGATTTCCCCACCAATGCTCCGCATAGTGCGTCGCCCCATGCGGCGCACCTATGCAATGTTTACAGAGTAAATATCTTATTTCGGCTAGAAAAAGGTGATTTCGTCTGGGCCCGGCCCTACTTGGTAAATACATGGAAAAATATTATTTTCTGGATTTTTGACACATATTTGACCTAAGGAGGAGTTTGAAGAACACGGGCACAATGATTTCATCATTCCTTCCTCACTCAAGATACGAGTTTGGATTGAATTTATATTTTCCTATCTTTTAATTATATTTGTGATAAATTAATCCATATCTATGGAGTAATGATGATTGGATTTAGTGTATTGATGATTGTTTGTGGATTATAACTCTAGTTTTATGTATTGAAGCATTTTTGGATGATTTAATCGTTGCATCTATATTCACTTGTTCATATAATCGAGAGAGGCATAACTTGTGATATCTTTGCATTATATTGTTGGGTGAGTTCTTTAATTCTTCTTAGTAATCGAAAGAGGCTAGTTTAATTATTGATTAAACCTAGTTAGGAGAATAATCGAAAGAGATTTTCCTAAAAACGAATTCACTACGCATTCTTGCATATCTTCACGTGTTTAAATTGGTTCATCTCGTAAGGTTAAGACGTAATCGAGAGAGGAGATTTTACTGAACGTTTGAACTAATAATTGAGTGAATTCGAGAGACTCACTTGAACATTAGAAGTGAATTATCTAGAGTTAGATCCCAAACAATGATCTTGCACCTATCCTATCAACCCCTATTTCCTCCCACTGATAACTTTATTTGCTTATTCCATGTTTCGATTGTCATTAGTCAATAGCTTTAGATTCTTAGTTAATTTTTGTTAGAAATCATATAAATCTCAATTGTTGATCATATTGGATAACAATCAAGCTAGAAACTACGAGAATACTATTTAAATCCAATCCTTATGGATACGATATTATACTATACTATATTTGATTAGCGCGCATAATTTAAGTGTGTGTTTTTAGCTCGTCAAATTTTGGCGCCATTGCCGGGATATCTTTTAGGGTTTAGAGATATTTAGCCCATAAGATACCTGGCTCGATGGAAATGTTTTTCTACATCCTCGAAGCAGTTGAAGATGTGCTCAAAATCTAGGAGACCCAATCCTCAATGTTAGGGAATCCGTCAATTTCCACCGGGATAGCTGCAGTTCTCGAAGATAATGAATTCAATAAAATTACCAAATCAAGCGAATACAGGTAAAAAATAAAAGGGGACACTTATAATTGAAATTCCATTTCTTTGAAAATAAAACTTTCTCGAATGGAACGAGAAATTATATTTTCACCACTAAATATCTCTAAACCATCTCTAATTGTAATCATCACCACAATTGGTGATCAGAGCCATAGAACCCTAAGAAGCCATGTTGTATACACCCCCACAATCTTAGGGGAATAAAGGTGGCTGAGATATTGGAAAGTGAAAGGAAAACTGGCCTTGAATCAAGTTAGTGGAGGAACACGATTAACCTCCATATTTGGGGACCTATCTAGGCAAGGAAAATATTGTACTTTTGGCACATCTCGATGATAATCACATCCACTGAAAGATAAAACCCGATAATGAAGGGGTAGGTGTAGATGAAAGAGTGATCAGGATGGTGACTAGTAAGCCTTTTGTTCTCTTAGAGACAAAAAAGGATAAGGCTTTTGTTGTTAGTCCAACCGCAGTCGAGCCGAACTTAAGGAAGACGATCCCAAGTAATCAGAGATGGGTATCTAATCTCGGGTGTGTTCTGTTATCCAAGCTATTTCTTGATTGTTTTCCCTAACCTTGAAGTTACTCTTTTTATATAACTCATTTGGAACAATACCATAGACCGTTCGTGCCCGCAAAGTTGCAAGATCAATTTTCTTGGAGGACCCGACAACAGAGGTTCTAGTTGCCCTCCTCTTCTTCTCCAATGACAAAGTATTCTGAGATGCTACTGCCTTAGCGGCAGTGGTAACAACGACATGAGAACCTCATGTAGTGCCATAAGCAGAGGTGGTGAAAGGGCATTCGTCTGATGAATTGCGGCTCTGATAATGCATTGATGGAGGTTAAGAAGTAAGGGACGGTTTCAAAAAAATTCAAAATAAAGGGGCCGAAATCACTTGCAACGCTAGAAAGAAATTGTAGGAATATGGAGAAAGTAAGGGAGAAGATGAAAATGGGAAGAATTACACCTTTATAGGAAACAAATCATTAGTGTGTTGGTAACCGCTAGTAACACAATCAGATCCAGCTATGCATCTCGAGCATTAAATAGAAAGTACTTTTTTGACATTTCTGATTCAAAATCATGATGTTAGACACAATACATTTTCCTCATGATACTCTTCCACTTCCCGAATACTTCTCGGGACAAACTCAAAAGTGAAATATTATCCGTATAGATGAAATACGCGACATACATAAAAGGTAACATATAGCATAAGATTCAAACGATACTATAATACTCAAAGTCTTAAAATTCCGGGATAGATAAGAATCGTATTTATTTTTTGAAACCATCCATCCGGGGATGAAAAACTGCTCCTCCAAAATAAAGTATCCAAAATTTTCAAGAGTGCTCAGAAATATCTTTGCCCATCACACCGAATTTTGAGAAGTGCAGGATCATTCTGTTACAAGTATGTCTTCTTTTATTCATTATCCAGAGACTAAAAAAAATTAGTTGCTCGTAGTCATCGTATCAAAATCGTTGAAGCATATTCAAGTCAATGAAACTGAATTGTAAAATGCACTAGCAAGACATCAAAATCGAAGCGAAAAATATTTCTAAGTATGAACGAATGCAGAAATAGAAACTTTATCATTGATACAAGCCTAAAACCTGCAAAAGAGGTGTTCCAATGACTCCATGACTGGTACTAAAGAAAAATAAAAACTTCCAAAATATTCAAACACTGGTTGTTGGTCACTCCACTTCACTAATCTTTTGATGAAAGAGAAGAATACTGAGTATCTTGAGGATTCAAGTTAGAAGATGGTGGAGAAGAGGAAGAAGAATTAGCTTGAGGAACCGAAAAGTTAGGATGCAGCTCGGTATGTCCCTGCCAGTAGCCTCATCCTGAAGGTCTGGAAGCATCCATCCTTCCGTATAATCTTCTTTTGTAAAGGATGAGTTCATAGCCTATCGGGCTATTTCCACTGCTTGTCTTATTTTCTCGACCACCCTCTCCAGATTAGGAATTCTCGCACAAACAACTTCTAATATTGACAGCTTAAAATCTAGAAAAATGACATTTTGAGCAAGCTCCGATTGATGTTTCAAACTATTATAAGTCGAGATATCATTGTCTCTTTCAGTTCGTAGCTTTTCCTCCTCAAGCTTGAAAGATTCGGTAGTTACTTTTCAAGATCCAAGGGCTTGCTCTAGAAGTCTCCCTTGCTCTCTTGCCCCATTAAGCTCATTTGTGAACGTAGCATATTCATCAGCTAGTTGAATCGAATATGCTTCCTTCTGCGCGAGCAATGCCTTGAGACACCCAATTCTCTTAACATGCTTGTCATTTTGTTCCTTCGTCTTGACGTTCACCATATTCAACTCTTCCATAGCCTACTTGGCTTGAATTTCAAAAGCCTCTTCAAAAAATACCTTCCCCAATTTGGGCTCCCAAGCCTTATAGTAAGAACCTCTCCATGATTTGGATTGAAACTAAATTTGCCTTCACCAAAACACAATGCAGTGCTTGATATTAAAAAATAAAAAGAGATTGCAAAAGGAGTAAAAAGTGGAAATTCAAAAGCATACTCGAAATTTACAATTTAGCACATCATTCACAAGGCTAACGTCAGAATGATTATCCGCTCTATTCTTTTCCAAAAGGTCAACTAAATTCTTTAACCATATAGACTTCTCATCTAAATACTCTAGAAGAACCACCCCTTTAGGCACCTCGATTATAACTCGGTGTTTTATCAGCGATTGTTGAAGGCTCAATTTGGGAACGTTATGGGATCGAAAAGTCCATTGAGGGTATAATATTAGGATGAGAACTTCCAAAATGGAATAGCCCATCAAGACCAACCCATGTAGTTACATTTCCTAGGATCATAGTGGAAGTTGTATCTCCTATTGGCTCTTTAGGCCTTTCCACCAAGAACTATATTTCGTCGATATCAATCAAGATGGGATCAGTATTTTGAAGAGGAGTAGACCACGAATTAATTCGGGGACTTCCCTAAATGTTCTCGGACTCTTAATTGAAACTAAACCTAGTTCTTTCCCTTAGAAGACCAGTAAAATCATTTGCCAAAATAGATTTTGATGAACTTTTCTTCCTCTTTAGTGCAGATAGTTGTTGGACTCTTTCTTGAGTAGAATCAATGGTGTTAGGGAGATTAATCATAACTCGAGAAAGAGTTTTCCTTGGTGTAATGCCTACAATGGAGAAAGAAGTATAAGTTATGAAGCATCAAATTAGAAAGACAATTGGTATGAAGATTTATCATGATTCTTAGTCCTCCATCAAAAAATTTTAGAAATATGCCTCCAGGACCTCTCGAGGAAAAGAAGATAAGATTTTCGGAAAATGACGATCCTCAGAATGAACCAGCTCTCGGATAGGGATGACAACAAATTGATCATACCATCCTCTATCATAATCATCCTCTATATTCACGAGAGCTTATTCACCTCGATTGACAACAATAACAACACTACCCCAAAAAAGCACTAGGGAGTAAATGTCGAAGACACCAAAGGGTAAAGTCAACCTTAGCCAAATTTGATAAAAAAAAAAACAAAGACACGTCACTAATCTCAAAACACTTTGGCCGACTTGAGCTAAGCAAATGTCGAAATGTCAATAAAAGTCCAAAATTGCAGGGTCGATTGGGGGAACAAATCCAAGGGTGAATGGATAAATGTACACAAAGGAAAAACCATCCTGATGGCTGATAATCCGCTCATTCTCTAAAGATACTTGGATGTTAATGTGATCACCCTAGTGGAATTCCTTTTGGACGAGAGGAATGTGATCCAATCGAATAAGGAATCAAAGTTATCCACGTAAGAATTCCAGTTCCAAGACTGCATTGCTATTTTGTTTCATGACCTTCCATCCACTTCAAAGTCCTACTGTTTTGGTAGAATGTCCAAAACAGAGGGTTTAGTCTCATGCTTTACCTTTTTGCCTTTCGAAGGATTCTGAGTTTTTTCCACTTTTCTCAATGGATAATGAGGATGTGACTTCTAAAGGTTCTTTGATGATACTCACATGACTCAATAGAGTGAGAGTTCTTGAGAATCTATAATAGAGGAGAAAAAAGACTATAGGATCGATGAAGGATTCAATGAAGGTTGTGAAAGTAGCAGAGGATTTTCTTAAAATAATTGAAAAGTGAGGAAAGAAAGGCATTTCACGTATATAAAGGTGGGGAACTGAATTTTCAGATCCATCGAACTTGGAAAACATGTCAATTGCAAAGTCAGACATCACAATCTTGGAAACTAATATCAATGGCACAAAAATTTGAAGCTCGCCACGTGCCCCGAACAATGAATAAAAGTTGCACGCATCATCTCAATCACAAATCATGTCACTTTATTTTTTGATGCGAATATCGAATGAGATTTCTTTTCCATCAAGAATAGATTTTAGCCAAAATTTTCTCCCACTGAAGATTCTTTATTTCCTTGTCACGACCCAAATTCCACCACAGGGGTCGTGATGGCACTTAATCTCTAAGACTAGGTAAATGTATCACTTATCAATATTAAATCAACAAAATATGATATAATAAGGCAGGGTTTAATATAAAAGAGAAAATAGAGTTAACACAAGGCAAAGAGGCAATACTCAATACATCTTCCCAGAACTAGGTAGTACAGAGTCATAAGCTCTAACTGAATACATACAAAATATTCAAAATATAACACTGTTCGAATGTAAAATTAACAGTATCAATATAAAGGATGAGAATCCAAGGGACTGCGACAACATGCAGCTCTATCTTGAATCCTCACGACCGATGCAAGCTCTCACTCTCAAGATTCGTTGCCTCCAACACCTGGATCTGTTAAATAATATGCAAAAGTGTAGTATGAGTACACCACATTCGGTACACAGTAAGTATCAAGACCAACTTCGATGAAGTAGTGACGATGGTCAAGTCATATGATACTCACTAGTCAAATAACCTATTCAATACTTGCAACATAATATATAATAGAAAATAATATCAACAATCTCATTAGAACACGTGATTACAACTCAATGTAGAAGAGTCAACCTTTGTGAAAAATCATCAAATATAAGTGGGGGCATATGATAGCATGTCAAATTCAACTAAAAACTCATTAAAATACAGAGATGGTGTTTTAAGAAACATGCATATGATCAAAATATCAACCCTATTTTAACATATAAACAACATCAAAAGAAACACCCCCATATAATTATATAACATCATCAATAATGCCATACTTATTTCGTCGCATGTGCAAATAAAAATAAATGTCATCCTTATTTCACCACATGCGCATATCTCCATCCTTATTTCTCCACGTGGGCACTCTAAGAAAACGCCACCCTTCTTTCTCCCGATGCGCACAACAATAATCACAATTGCATGGTAAAGACCTTGTGCAAATATCTAATCAATCCTCTCAACATGTCTATATGTGCCACAATAATCACAAAAAAGTAATGCCAAAATTTCATCAGAGGTCTAAGCTCATAATTTATCAACAAGGTGTACAAGAAAATAAAAATAGTAAAATGCAGATGGGTGTTTAACATATAAAGCATTACTAGGGCTAACATAATTTAAGTCATCATATTGACGTGGCCATAAAGTGATTAAGTATGTTTCATGCAAAATACAACCTCAAATTAAAGCTTATTAATAGCCTAAGGTCTAATTCAGTCATAAGCCACACATAGCACCCATGCACACGCTCGTCACCTCGTGTGCACGTCGCTTTTTCACATAACACGAATAAACAATTAAGACCAAATCCTAAGGGATATTCTCCCACACAAGGTTAGACAAGATACTTACCTTAAAGAAACGAAATCAACACTCTAAAAAGCCTTTACCTCTCGAATTAGCCTCCGAACGGGCCATATCTAACCAAAAACAACTCAACAACATCAAATAAAGTTATAGGAATCGATCCAAAGTACTAGAGCTCCAATCTCTAACATATAAAACAGTCAACTTAGGTCCACTTCTCGGAACCTGACAAAAGTCATAAATTTCGACTACTCATTTGAATACAAGTTTCATCTAAAACTAACTCCAAATCGGGGTTCAACTCTCCATTTTTTACTTTAGATAAGTTTTATCAAAACCCCTAATTTTCTCCCTAAGATTCACAAATCAAATGACAAATCAAAGATATAATCATGAATAATAATACAATCTGAGTTAAGAATACCTACCCAATCTAAGTGGGTGAAAATTGCTTCAAATATCGCTCTAATCCGAGCTCCCATTTTCAAAATATGTTAAAATGAGCTCAAAGTCCTGAAAATAACAACTTAAAGGTCTGCCTAGTGATACACTTTGCGAACGCGGTCCAAGCCTCGCATTCGCGAAGCACAACCCAGCACTGGCCTAAAATTACCCTTCTTGAATGCAGTCGGGCTCCCGCAAACGCAATGCATAACATCTATTTGCCTACACGAACATGGTCGCCCACCCGCGAACGCGAAGGCCAAACGCCTGACGAACCCATCCAACCTTCACTCTACACAAAGATGATGCCTAAGTCGCGAACGCGAAGGCCTCTACTGTCACGACCCAAAATCCGACAGTCATGATGGCACCTAACCCAACCCGCTAGGTAAGCCAGTTTAACAAAGTCCAATTCAAATGAGATTTACTAAGAGAAGTAATGATAATACAACTGAACTTTTAGACAAAAATCCCAAGGACTGGTAGTACAAATCATGAGATCCTAAGATTTAGAGTTTACAAGACTAATATGAAATAAATACATCATCTGTTTGAAATATACGTGAATAGATTGTAAATTCTAAAGCTACCAAGAACAAGAGGCAGCTATGACCGGAACGTAGGTACATCTTCAATTCTAACTCCCTCCATACACAGCAACATCACCATCCAAAATCTGCACGCAAGGTGCAAAAGTGTAGTATTAGTACGACCGACCCCATGTACCCAATAAGTAATAAACCTAACCTTAGGTTGAAAGTAGAGACGAGCTTCGATAACGGTCAGAGTCCAACACCAATAGCCAACAACTTATGACACCATAATAAAAATAGTACAAGAAGTAACTCAAGGATATGATGCTCACCTCGTCCACAATTATGGAAAAATAGGCATATTTTTCAAGTATAACTATAAAACCCAAATCTTTCACCGAAATCACCAAAATATGAGTACGTCAGAAAACCATGATTTTTCCCAAAAAAACTTTTAACAACCGGTAAAATATTAAAATCTCAGATTGCATGAGGAAAGTACATCTCTATGCCTACATGTCCATGTGCATGTGAAGTCATAAATGTCACAATACCGTGTAGCATGAGGAAATGCATCTCTATGCATGTATGTCAAATATACCTATCAATCCAATGCATCACAATGATGAACTCATATACTCACACTCTCGGAGTACTGAATATCATTGTCTCACCCTCAAACTTATCGCACTCAGTCACTCAGCACACTCAGTCTCTCAGCACTGTACGGTACATGCAGCGGCACACAACCCGATCCACATATAGCCATAAGGCCTATTGCGGCGTGCAACCCGATCCACATATATCCATAAGGCATGTTGCGGCGTGCAACCCGATCCATATATAGCCAAAAGGCTTGTTGCAGCATGCAACCCGATCCACATATCTCACTCACCACACGGCTCTCGAGCCCAACTCAGTTATTAATTTCCAGTCTCTCGGGCTCACAAATCTCATGCCAAGCAGCCCAAACAATGATAACATGTTGTGACAACAAATGATAACAGCGACTGAGATATGATATGCAAATGAATGAATTTGACTGAGTATGTAACTGCAATTTAAGCAAATAACTCAACAGCAGATATGACCTCAGTGGGTCCCAACAGAATAAGAATATAGCCTAAACATAATTTCTAACATGGATCACAGCTCAATTACTCTAGCACATAGGAATTTCATGAATGAAAACAAGATTGGGTAACTACAGAGTATCACTGAATCAGTCGAGTCATAATTCACACGGTGCACACCCATATGCCCGTCACCTAGCATGTGCGTCACCTCAACACCAAACACATAACACGTATATTTAAGGATTTATACCCTCAGCACCAAGTTTAGAAGTGTTACTTACCTTGAACAAGTCGAATCTATTATCGAGCAAGCCAAGAAATACTCTAGAAACACCATCACGCGCGTATCGACTTCCAAACGGCTCGAAACTAGCCAAAAACAACTCAAGAATATCAAATAATGCTAAAGGAACAAACCCAACCGATAAAGGTTGAATCTTTAATCAAAAGCCCAAAGTCAACCAAAAAGTCAAACTCGAGCCCGTACCTCGGAACCCGATAAAGCTCACAAAATCCGATAATCCATTCAATTATGAGTCTAACCATACTAGTTTCACTCAAATCCGATTCCGAATCGATGCTCAAAACTCGAAAATTCACTTTATAAAATCTTAGACAAACACCCCCAAATTTTCTTTTTGAAATCATCAACCAAATGCCAAAAACGCAACCAAAGAGGATCTTGCCTTGAAGGGCAGTTTCACAAACCAAATGATGTTAAAGTATCTCATATGGAACATCAGGTCTGTGAACACACAACAGGCCTTTCAGAGATTGATCAATATGCAAAGAGAACATAGGTTTTCAATTATTGCACTAATGAAACCTTTCCAGAATTGCAGACACATCCAAATCTACAGGAGACTAGGAATGGAAATTGTTATGTCAAATATCAATAGAAAAATTTGGATGTTCTTTGAGGCAGCTATAGAGTGGGAATTACTTATGGACACTGAGCAACAAGATACTGTAAAGGTTTTCTATTAGGACATAGGAAAGCATATCATAATGATCTTCGTGCATGCCAAATGTTCACCGCTTGAAAGACTAGAACTGTGGGACTATCTATATTACTTAGCAGCTGATATGGATATGCATTGGATAGTTGGAGGTGATTTCAATGTGGTCTTACAAGAAGATGAAAAGATAGGAGGTCTTCCAGTATACCCCCCTGAATACGAAGACTTTGCCTTCTGTGTCCTATGGTTTGTTTGACATTGGATATATTGGCAGCCCTTTCACTTGGTGGAATGGTCGACCAAATGACCAATGCATCTTCAAGCGGCTTGACAGGATATTTGTCAACCTCTCTTACTAGAATCTCTTCCCAAATCTAAAA